TGTACATACACTCATATAGCCTATATACAAATTAAATGATATCTGTACATACACACACTACATACTGAGGCCTAGGCCTACATAAATACACATACACGCATCAATTCTAGCAGAAAAAGAATTAAAATTGAAATTATCTAAATCAAAAACTTGTTCAAACATATTTAAATATGTACATTTAAAACATTTAAGGGTATCAAAACCAACCGCGCAAGGCTACATCACGGATTTGAGTCGCTATAACGGCTTAGAAGCTATCGGCACCGCCGCAGTGCGAACAAAAGCTGCTGTTTTCTATCGGCACTGCCGCAGTGCGAAAAAGCTGCTGTTTTCACATCGGCACTGCCAATGTTTAAAAATGTTTAAACGGGATGGTGATGATTTAAGTCAGCTTAACATTCTCAAGGTAAGCTAGGGCCTAGGCCTAGGTAGGGCCACAGCCTTCCGTCAGCCATTTAGTATCATTGTATAATAAGGTCTAGGCTTAGACTAGCCTAGTTCGCCCTAACTAAGGCTAAGCTAGATGGTTAGGGCCTAACCTAGGCCTAGACTAGGATACTTACACAGGTAGGCTAGGCTAAGCCTACTCCTCAAACTAGGCCTACCTAGGCCTAGCCTATACCGACATTTGGGTTGCCAAAACATTTTCACGAGACTGCTTACTTTTAAAAATTAGGTTTTGGTATAATTATAATAAGCACATTTTGAAACATATCATATAGGCCTAGGCAAGGCTGGGCCATTCCTAGCTAGGATAGGAGTGTAAAATACTTCTACAACGTAGGCCCTATGCCTAGGCCTACTGTACTTTGCCTAGAACCAATGGCCTAGCCTATACTGTAGCCATCCTACAAAGAACTTAACTCAAGAGATACATCCAGATGTAGGTACGAAGACGAAAGCTGACATTTCGTACATGCCAACACTCCTGTTTTGGCCAGGAGACTCCCGTTTGGTAACAATAACATGACTCCCGGCCAATTTTTTTTTGTCACATGCTCTCCCGAGTCCCAGTTCACAAAGAAAATTACCTAATAATCTATTAATGTAGGCCTATTGACTTTTTTTTTGTAGGCCTATATGAGTACTGCAATTCGAATAAAAACCTCAATAATACATTATCTTTCAATGTTTCAAACATGCTGGCCTTGTAACACTGGATCCATGATTACAAGGTGTCTGGTCAGTAAAGGCTATACACAATAGAATCATGAGATTTACCCCTATAATACATTACGTAGCTATAGCATCCAGGTTTGAGTTTCACTGCCTGGACCCCCATGTAATAGGGACCCCCACAGACCAATGCCCTCAAATTCTCCCGCTATTTACTAGCAAAATGTTGGCATGTATGGATTGAAGTTATTTAAAATTTGGCAGGAACATAGTTCACATTAATAATACATAAAATGATGCACCAGTTAATAAAAGTGTTTAAAATATTCAGTTGCTTCTTTACTTTTTGATTTTGTTTCAGCCTTGTGGCGAGGGGGTAGCCTGCAAGCTTTATTTTCAATTATACCATTCAACTTTCCAGTTGATCGTGCACTGTGCATAAGTCGAAAATACAACATTTTTTCACTGTTTTACATTAAACATTTGAGTACTGTGTTCTCCATAATATAGAATAGAACATTCCACACATGATTGACAAAAACAAATAGTGTATTTTGTTGAGAAAATAAAAATCAAAAACAATCTTTGATTGTTGAAATACAACAGCATACCTTTATTTGATAATGCCTTGAGTTGCCAAAGAAGAGGGAATCTTAAAGTGGTTTGCCACTAATAAAGTTTGAGAAGCAGGGAGTTAGGCCGTTTCAGAAACACACTGATTCGACTAGTGATGTTTTATGTCAGAGGTTTCAATTGAACAAATTTACAGGCGTGATGATTTTTAGAAATTACACCCTAGGTTGGCGTATGAGGATCAATCCCCTCATGGCTCACCATAATACACGAGCTGGAAGTGTGTTACTACACCTTCGATCTTGCCCGACAGTGCTTTATGACATCTACAGTGTTTAGTGCAGCTAGATGGTATACATGCTGTTTTAATTACTGTACATTCATTTTCATTTCATTTATATTGTACAGTATTTGCATTGCAAATTATCGTTACAGTTTAGTTTAATATTGTAACCCATTCTTTAAGGTCAATTGAGATACAATTTTAATCTGTGTCCTCATTGTACAGTATGACTATGTGCTGAAACCCCTACTAAGGACACAATTTCACATTTTTGGTAGTGTCTCCGTAACGGGGTACCCTTTTCTGGGGACACCCCTATTAAAGGGGACACTTTTTTGGGTCCCAAAGGTGTCCCCCTTAATAGGGGTTCTACTGTAATAGTATTATTTTTGTTTTTCAGAAACGAAGAGTAGACGAGCTGCTTGCGCACAAAGTACCAGAGGATGAAGCTTTACTTATGAGCAGTGGAAGGTTTGTGAAAGTAGGCATACTGTAATATATCAGGGGCGGATCCAGAGATGTTCAAAAGGGGGGGGGGCCGGAAGGGGGGCCGAAAGTTGGGCCGATTGAGACGACACCGTCCTAAGGAGTCCGGGGGCATGCCCCCGCGAAATTTGTGTGTTCTAAACGCCCAAAAATAACATTTGAGGAGTTCTGGGCTATCATTTTTTTCTTTTTCTTCCCTTTTTTACCTCCCAAAAAGGGGGGGGGTCTGCCCCATCCGCCCCTGTATATGGCTCATTGAAAAATAGTGGCAGCGTTTTTAAAAAAAGAATTTTTTTTCAATTTTAGTTTAGAAATTTTAAAAAGTGATCTTTATTTTTCTCCATTTTGCACATGAACGTGGTCTAAATTTGGCATATGATGTAAGGTATCACCATTCTAGGCCTAAATTCATTGCAAAATATTGATTATTGTTTATTTTTATTCAGTCTGATGAATACCCGTCGATAGTGAAAGTATGTTGATTTTGGTGACAGGAGGAAAAGAAAACTGAAAAAAAAACAAACTTTTTTGCACCCGCCCCTCATATATGATTTTCAGCAATAAAGGGCAAACAAACAATTTATTTTTTTAGGCCTAGTTTTGATAATCGTGTTATGGCTTCTGTTTGTCAAGTTGGATACTCCCACTTTTTATGCATAGACTCACCCAACAATTTAAGTGGGTGGGCTAACCCTCTTGTTGGCCCTCCAATAATTTGCCAGTAAAGTTTGAATATAGATTTTGACTTGATCACCAGTTGGCTGAACATTGCGTATTTTGTTCGCAAGGCGTAAAAAAATTGCCAAATTAGTCTCCCAGAACATTAAAACTGCATTTGGTTTAGGGGCATTTGACCCCAAGGAGGGTCCCCCAGCCATCCCCTTGCTCTAGCTTCGGCTTCTCGGTCCCTCGCAGAGTGCTTACCGTGCCCACCCAATATGCACTTGTATTATTTTATGATTTTACTGTCAACATGAATCTTCCCTTGTTTTCAATAACTTATACAAGAGTCTGTCATAGTATTGTATGTTGATGGTTAGAATCAATGTTTTAACAAGCAATCGCCATCATATTTTACAGGCGCGATAACAGTTCCAATCTTTGTTCAACAGAATGCCTTAGCAGAATCATAACTCACTCTCATGCATTGCAGTTTCCTTGCTTAGTCTTTCTTTTGTAATTTTCAGCATTAATAAATATCAATAAATAAATTACACATGGATAAATTTTATGGTTAGCTGACGATTTATGTCATATACCGGAAAACAGCTCTGACATTATGCTGCTGCGTCATTTTACAGTGTCACCATCACAGGTGAAAAAAAAAAATTGCTATGCTGCCCTCTACAGTATGATCTCCAAAGGGGTTTTAAAAAAAAATTTTTGATATGATTTTCAGATTGCAATAAATCTGTAATTTTAATTCTTTTTTAAATACTCTTGCATGGCCTTAGTTTCCAAAAAATAGCAATATACAAGTAACACATTTGATCTAACTCCCTCAGTCCTAGGACCTAAGGGCAAAACATGCATTTTATTTTTAACTGAAATTTATGTGATTTTCATTTCCCTTGAATAGCGAATTAAGTTAATTTTCATTAAAATATGAGATGGTCACCGGGTCACAAAGAAAATGTGGGTTTTTGAGATTAAATGACTTATGTTTAGAGATCTAATTATTATCCATGTTCCTGGATTGTTAGTTCTGTGTACCTGACTTCCATTTATTAGCAGTAATTGTTTGCAAACTCTCAACCTTTTTGTTTTTCTTGCTGTCCGCTTTAGATATGCCTGCACTGTGTGTCATTATAGACCTGTGTTTGATACCTTGCAGATGCTTACAATTCATCGTCGGGGCAAAAAGCATGAAAAATGTGAGTTTCTATCAATTTATTTTGCTAAAATGGTAATAAATAGCCGCTGTATTTATAGATCTTTGGAGATTATTGGGTATTTGAATCAATCATAATAATGGCTATACACTGTTTGATTAGGTTTTTTTTTTAAAAAGCGCCACAGACGTTCACAACTTTTTACTGGGGGAATCCAGCAGCTAGCCAGAGCAAATTTTGTTTCCTTTGAGTACTTTTACAACCAAAGACATTGCAGGTTTTATGTGCCTGGGCTATTTTTTAAAATTTGTTTTTATTTATTAGCCTAGGCCTTTACACCAAGGTCATGCACCAGTCACACAGCACAGACAAACACTGGTAAAGTGAAATGCATAGGCCTTTGGATGTCCCCAGTAATGGTTGTCAGGTTTTCAGAAATTTTCATTCAAATTTTACGAAAATGGTGTATAGTGAGTTCAGAAAAACTTGCACATTCAGTCATTGTTAAAAAATGAAGAGTAGAAGATTGTCTCTTTTTAGAGATGGGTTTGATAAAGAAATTTAATACCAAAGCTCAACATTTTGGTATAATTAATTTATATATAATTATAATTATATTTATTTACCAAATTTACATAGCACCTTTTTTGTAAATAATAATGTTCAAAGGGGCTTTACATAACAATAAAAAAATGCAATACAAAAATATAAATTGAGAAAAATATGACATTATTATCGTGTATACAAATTGATTAAATAGTTGATTTAGAATATTTTAAATTGAGATTAGTTATTGCAAAATTGATGATTAAAAGGAGACAAGCAGATTATAAAATATATTATAAAAACTATATTTTTAAACTACAAAAATTTCCAATCAAAATATTTAAGAAAATATAAAAAAATTCTTGAAACCTGATGAGATGGATGTACTGTATATTTATGGTTTGAATTTGTGCATATAGTATCCATCTCATTTTTTTCAATAATATGCTGGGAATGATTCCAACATTCAAGTAATCAAAACTGCCACAGGATTTAACTTTTTATTAAGATCAATTACTTATTTAATTTTTATTATAGATAAAAATGTATGTACATTATTAAGTATGTAATCCTTGGAAATATATATATTTTTTTAACATTTTATAAATTTTGTGTGTTCATTGAAAGGTCTGGAATCACATTATAGAAAGAAATGGACATACATGGCATTAGTGGAGAAGCGACACCAGGAGAACTATGTGAGGAATAAATTACAGAGTAGCAGTGATCAACACCAGGTGAGAATACAAAGAAATGTTAGTGTTTGAAAATCTGATTATAGCTCTTCAGTCTTAGGAGGTCCACTACAAAAGTTCCCATTCGCTCCGAAGGCCCCAAAATTGGTGACCTTGGAGCGAAGAAACCAAGTGACTGTCATTTTGTAGCCTGAGGTTTATTAACATGTTTTCCTCCCTAAATGAACGAAGCTATTATTTTTACCTGTGTTTACATTTGTGTTGTTGTCATCAACACGGTAGTAATTGTTTGTTACTACCATAACTAAAGTTTGGTAAATCCAGTTTCGAACTTGGCAGAATAAAAGATGGTAATAAGAAGACTGAACATATTGTCTTTAGTGTGTGTGTGTGTGTGTGTGAATATGCTAATTGCAATTTGCATAATTGATAGTTCACTAATCAGGGTATTTATTTTACATGAACATAGCAGCAAAAATTTATTTACAATATAATAACATCATAATTCCCATTAAATTATATCATGTCTATAATTTTCCAAAAACAGTGATTCGATTTGCAGTTGAAATGAAACTTTCCTTCATAGGCCTACAGTAATTTTTGTTAAGTTAATGAACTTTTATAGAAGTGTAGAATCTAATTCTTGAATTATCTGCTTCCTAATAGACATGAGATGGAAAGAAGTACAAAAGCCAATATATTAACTTAACAATTCAAGCTTGCAGTAAATTTTTTGGTATTAAAATAAAAATTTACTAAATTTAACTAGGCCATATTCAAAGAAAGTCAAGCTTGAATTTGTCTTATGGTTTTTGAGAAAAAATTGTGTAGGCCCTATTTATTAAGAAATTAATGATTTTGAAGTCGAGCATTTATAGCTTGCCAGCATCTACTACTGTACATTGATTTTTCAAAGCCCATTAAATAACTTATTCTTCGCAGCCAAAATGGATTGTGATAACTTGAGTTGATTTGCTTTATTTCACTTTCTTAGGAGGACCTTTCACCTCTCTTAACAAAAACACATGAAAAGACACAGAATGTCCTTCTAAAGGCTACGCCATATAACAGCTGTGTGAAGTGGAGCAGACATACCAACTTAACAAGGCAAGTTAACACTTAAAGAAAATGTATTTTCCCTTCTAACACAAAAGATGAAGGCTTACAAAATTTGAATTTGCCATTTTGTTGCTTTAGGAAAGTCACTTTTGATCCAAAAATCAAACAAAAATCAATCAGTTTTGTTAATTAACGGGCAAGTTAGTTCAAAAAGTTTTTTGTTAGACCGTTAAAAGCAAGACAATTTAAATTCAGTTTGCTTTATTAATTATGCATATGCATAATATGATAAGAGGTTTATGAGCTGGCATAGAAGTGATGTTGAAATTGCAACAAAAAAATAATTAAAAAATATAAATTTTAAAAAAAAAATGAAAAACAAAAATACCAAATACTGTACTACTAAAGAAAATTATGGAGTAAATTTTAAATTACAATTTTAAATGACTCTCAAATTCACATCCAAAACTGAATCGTCACCAAAATTTAATAATTTCTTCCTTGTAACTTGGTGAAACATTCCAGAAAGTTTCAATAAAATCAGTTGATCCATTAAAAAAAATTATCTAGTGTGGTGTGTTTCCCTTTATTTACCTTTAAATGATCCCCATATCCACACCCCTTTCTGAATTGTCAACCAATTTTAGGAGGCACGTCTTTGGTATATTGTATATAAGCTTGGACATAGTTTGAAGAAGATCCAGGCAGTGAAAATGACCAAAGTGCCGAGCAGAAATACCCTGTGCAAAATGATAGGAAAAACTATATGGAAAGAAGAAGAAAAAAATCACAACAAAAACAATGGCTTTTCCTGCTACTGCTAGGAAAAGCCAATAATAACAATGATAGTAATAATATTGAAAATTTATAAAGCACTTGTATCCGTTCAGCGTTAAGGTTTCGGACCAATACCTTTTCTATGGGCGGCCACCAGGTGGGTCACTTTTGATGTAAAATCTGCATAATAGTACTTTAAATATTAAAAAATTTTTAAAATACTTTAAAAATTTTATTTTTCTTAACCATAGCTTTCAAAAATAGCCAGCTTTCAAATATAGCCATGGACAATGTTGTCTTAGTTGTTTGAATAATTAAAAAAAAAAGGAGCATCTGCAGTGGTGGGTACTGTAGGTTTGCTATCAAAAATTCAATATTAGCCCTTTATGTATTTACAAGTATTTTGTAATACTTATATATCAAATTTGCATTTTTTTTTTTTACAGTAATGTTGGACAACAGACAGTACCATCCACTGACTCTTTCTTAGCATCATCTCAAAATGAACACGTCAAAGCTAAGACAATAGCAGAAGGTGATGACCACCTAACAACTCCTAAGTTACAGAAAATGTCTTTACTAGAACGACAGTTGCCATCAGTTGAACAATCAAGAGCATTCAAGCATTATATGCCCTCAAAGGTTTCCCATAGAAGAATTGATTCTGGTGCTCCTGTGGAACTGAAGCCTTATACTTCAAAATTAAAACGCAACACTTGCGTTGATTCCTTGAAAAAATATACAACATCCAATGCTGATGTATGTGTGCCAGTAACAGAGTTTGAAACATGCAACAAATACCAACAAGACCTCTATCCATCTATAATTCCTAATGACTCAAAGTTGCCAGGATTTAATGACTCGAAGATGCCAGGATTCAATCTCCAATTGCCAATCAGAACAGATTTTAAAAATAGTAATTCTTCAGAAAGACATAGTGTGTTAATATACAATGATTCAGAATCTAAAGGAGACTTGAACTCAGCTATAGTACACAAATTAGATCATAAATCTGCTTCAAAGAAAAAGGTAGTCACACCAGTCACTGGACTAAAAGATGAAGATAAAAAGAAGAAAGTACAACAAATATTACAACTTACAAGGTTAGTATGCTTCTTTATAATAATTTGATGATAGAAGAGATGTCTTTTGTCTTTGTTTTATATAACAAAGACGGCCTTGCGTGGAAGGAAGAAGTGGAATTTCACTATATAATATCAATAAACAGCCCTACATACAGTTTTCATTTTCCACATTTATTTTCATGCAACTACTACGCATTGTGTCACAATTAATTTGGTGGCAGTTTTCATCCCAAACAGCTCAAAATTTTAACTATTTTAACTTTCGGGTTTTTACTTCTTTAGCTCTGGGTGGAAACGAGACAGAGGAGGAATATGGATAAAAGATGAGGATGTTGAGTTTGATTCAGATGAAGAGGAACCTCCATTAACGTTATAAATAAATTTTGATCTATTATGAGTCCAAGCAAGGCAATCCAACAACAGGATGCACATCTAGGGACATCAAATGTTGTAAAGTTCATCTTAATGTCAAGCATCATGCAACAAGGACTGTTTCCATAGTGTGTCCCGTTTCAACATCCAGCCAACGAAAAGTCAAAGAAGCGTTGCATATCCAATGGGAAAAGCCCTCTCTCAACAAGCAACTTTTAAATTTAATTGAAACTTTGTTATTCTGATGTTCATTATTTCGTTTCTTTATCTTTATTTATGTCATTCCTCTCTTTACAGTTACGGTTCAATCGATTCTTTAGAATGCAATATCATGTTGTTTTTCAAATAGTGATGGTTTAATTCCTCTTTATTTACAATACAATGTATTGCAGATGTTTATAAAAAAGATTGCATAAAGAGCAATCACTACGCTGAAAATGGCAGATGTACTGCCGGTAGAAAATAAAAATATTTACATTAAAATCAGCTAGGCTTTGCCTACATGATATTGAGCTTTAAAATTGTTGTGGTGTTTTAAGATGTATCTGCTGTTTACACAGAATGAATATATATATATATATATATACACACACACACACGCGCGCACGCACACGCACACACACACACACACACATTCCTTCTAAACAATTGGCGCGTTTCTTAAGAACGCGTCCAAGCTCACGTGCCATCTCTATAGCTATGGACACGCACAGTCAACATAATACATATATATGTCTATATATGTCTATATATATATATATATATATATATATATATATGTATATATATATACATATATGTATGTGTATATGTATATATATA